GTAATCACCTTTGCCATATTCTATTGTCAGAAACAGTTCCTTACCACATTCAAGGAAGGGAACCGATCACTTAATAACGTGAAGACAGATGGTGAGGATCGTTAGGGGCTATTTTAGAGTATCTACTATACTACAACAGCCTGTTTTCTCCCCTTAGATTTGCAAAAGAATAAAAAAAACTTCTGTAACTTTCTGTACTCAATAGATAATATACTTTCCATATATAAGACATGCTACAGCTTCCCTATTCATGCAGGGTTCTTGAAATGCTAGACAGGTCACACTTGTAAAGAAAGGTTATAAACTCTCTTTTTAAATAAAGATAAATTATTTACCAAGATAATGCACACTTTAATTTCATTATCAAAAAAGAGTTTGGGGGAGACCTTCATAATGGGAGAATACTTTTGAAGCCCAACCTGAGAAGGGATCAGAAAAGTTCTTAAAGCAGTTAGTCTAAAAAGAACATTTCCTAGCTTAGTGTATGTTTGTACATCTCACCAAAGAATCTGACAAAATGTTTCAGGACTTCTCCGGAGCTGTAGCTGATGCTTTACTTTGGTAAGGCTTCCCATTTATTTCCTTCCTAAACTGTAATGTGCGTTGATTGCAACACCTTGCTTACAATATATTAGTCCGATAATATTTAGTTAATAAGTATCTTCATTTAGTAACTGAGTTGTTTTAAACAAAGAAAAGGAAAATTTCTCAGATAGTACTCCGTATTTCTTTTGGGCTGGTTATTGAACTTTTGTCTTTGAGAAGGATTTTGGCTTGCAACTCTACTGAGTTGCCAAGAGGTGGAAGTTTAAGTGAGGGGCTTTCCTTTTTTACTAGAGGTTTCTCAATGGACCCAAAGTAACAAGAATTGAAAATTTGTTTTGAGATGTTGAAATAGCCACTTTGGACATGACTTGTTTAGGGTACAGACCATTTTATAGTGCTGGCTCCAATACATTGGGAGTTTTGTTCTCACTTGAGTGGAATAATAAAACATAGACATGGAGATAGCTAAATAATAATAATAATAACAATAAAAATAGCCCATATTTTAGAATAGCTATAAATGGAGTGTAACCTTTAAAAGTTGTGACTCACTAAATTATACACCTGTACCTTATATAGGATTGCACAGCAACTACCAAATCTCAGTGAGTATAAAGCAAACTCTTCTGAGTTCAGGTAAGTATAAAGGCTTAGTAAATCTTTGCATGTCTAGTTGACGTGGTTGGGTTTCTTTGTGCGGAATTTCAGAGCGGCCAGGACGGAAGGCTAGAGTTCTTCCTGAGGGCTTCTGGGCGAAGAGCACAGTCAGGGACAGAGACTTCTTGTCCGGCCGGGAGCCTGCACTGCAGCAGTCAAGGGAGCAGTCACCGGGGCCAGCAGTGCCAGTGGTTCAGAGTTCCCTCGTCAGGGCAACACAGACATGCATACAACTCATTCCTAAATCACTAGTGAATTTGTGTATCTAAGTCAACAGATTCAAGTCTTTATTTTGGTGGGAAGGGGTCTATGTCAGGATACAGTGTCTGGAGTCAAATGTACTTTTTTGCTCTATGATTCAGAGCAAGGTAATTCCCTTTTCTAGTTCTCAGTGTCCTTGTCAATAAAAATAAGGTGAAAGTATGTTGTTAGAATTAAATAAGAATGGAATAAATGTGGCACATTTGACCCAGTGTTCCACATATGACAAATTTTCAAGAAGTGTTAACTGTGGTTATTTTAACTATAACTGCATCTTTACCTTGTTTCTCTACTTGTGCAGTGGGAGTGATTAAGGATAACTCTATATTGGTGGAAGTATTTGCTTTTAAATAGTATTTTTATTTTAATACTTTTTGGCAAATGCCATCTTAGGCAATACTATTAATAAAGTCATGGTATGTTCAATGCTTACATTTGAATGAAGTGTGCTTTATGCAGAAACTACATTTAAATTTAAAATGTTTGCAGGGATAAATTAGGAGTTTGGGATTAGCTGATACAAATTACTCTATACAGAATAGATAAACAACAAGATCCTACTGTATAGCACAAGGAACTATATTCAATAGCTTATAATAACTTATAATGAAGAAGATTATATATATGTATAACTGAATCACTATGCTGTACACTAGAAACTAACACAACATGGTAAATCAACTATACTTCAATTAAAAAATAAAATAAAATAAAGATAAAATGTTTGGTCATCCGCACATTTTTCCACAGCAGTTAATATTAAATTGTAATAGCCAGTCTTCTAAAGCTAAAACAAACATAACTGCAAAAAATTCAAAACAAAAATTATTTATAAACTGAAATAGACTTCTTTGGTCCCTCAAAGATTTCTTGAGCAACAGTATGTTGGTATTGTGCTGGATATGGTAGATACAATGAGGAAGGAATAACAGGTCACTTCTCTTAAGGAACTTAAGAGCCTAATGGGAAGAGAAAGATATGTACAGAGATGATTATAATGCAACATGGAAATGCTTCTGCAGAGGCAGGCACAGAAGGCTTTTGTAACAGAGAATAGAACAATGAAGTCTGCCTGAGGCTCTTTGGGAAGCTATCCTCAAAGAAAAGACCCAAGAGAAGGGTGAAGATGAAGAGTTTCTAGATAAAATCTAAGTGGGAACAGGGAAGAGGTCTTTCGAGAGGAAAGAGTAGTGTAAGCAAAGTGGCCCAGGAGTGAGAAAAATCTGTCATAATAGGAAATAGCAAGAAATTCGCTGAAGTCAGAGCATAAAGACAACATGCAGAAGAGAGGGGGAAATCTTGGGGGCTGGATTATGAAATATTTTGAGGATCATTTCACTCTATAGGTTATGGAAAACCAGCCTGGGTTTAAAAGTAAGAGAGGGGTAAGATTAACTTTGCAACAAATGATGCCAAAGGAAATTATATCATTCCCTTTAGCTTGCTGTTATTATACTTAAAAACTTACATTGAGGAGCTTACCTTAATGAAGCAAGCAGGCTCCCAGGGCCCCATGGGGGGAAGAGGATGCAGGTCTGCAGCATCAGCCCCACTGTCGTCCAGGAGGGCATCTGCAGGTCTAGGGACTGATCATCTCCGAGAAGAATGGCTCATTCAGGCAGAGAGCATATTTGGAGAAGGTAGTCGTATGTATCATTTTTCTATTCTTCTGATTTTGTACCAAGTGTTTTAATATTATAAAAATCAGGTTTTATAAGTGAAGTGAAGGTTGCCACAATCCTCAGGGGTAATTTAGGTAACTCACATGAAAAAGCAGATTCTGTAGGGTTGTCTAGAGTGGAGGCAGTCCTCCAAGAACTGGGAATTCTCAAAACATTTTCTCTACTACAGAGAAGCCCAAAGGGATGTGGGTTCAAATAGTTTTTTATGTATGTTCCTTACTTATATGTAAAAATGTACCTTGAAACTCTTATACAATCCATTTTTACAGACAAAAAGATAAAGAAGAATTAAATGTGCAGGAATGTGCAAAAGCAAAGCGTTAGAATTCTGATTCCAAAGAAGATTCCCAAATCCTCCTATCCTAGTGGATTCACTGTAATATCTGTAATACGGAATCAAGTGCTGTCTTTCCTTCTTCTCCATGAATAAACTACCCCATGGGAAACTTCACTGCATTTCAGAGATTTAAATAGAATAAAGATGCTTGGTTTCCATAATAACCATGCCAGCTTCTCTTTTGTTTCTCATTCATTTATTTATTCATCCATTTAACCAATAAATATTTATTGAGTGCCACAAATATTTGTGGTGAGTTTAAGTACTGATGGGAAAACCAGGAAGGTCACAGTAGATCTTCTGTCCTCATAGAGCTTCAATGTCTAGTGAGGGAGAGAAACAGTAAACACTCAAAAGTGCAGCCACTGTCATCCAGAGGTCAGCTTGGACTTCCCTGACTACTGAGAGGTACATAAGATGGGCTGGAACCCCCCATATCCACATCCTGGTGGGTCAGAGGCTCCACTCAGCACATATCCAGACCTCTGTGTCTCATGGTCTCTGCTCCAGCCAGCCTCCTCCTTCTCTGTGGTAAAGCAGTCATTGTTCTGCACCTCTTTCAAAGTACACATTAACACATCTCTTCCTCAATTTCCACTAAACACTCATTCACATAAAGCATTTATAAGTGTGACTGACTTCAATCAAGATCTAGGGGTAAGGAGGACAGTCTAGAGTGTTGGCTGCACAGCAAATGAATGTGAGATATATTTGGATATTCATGGTTTTTAAAGTCCATTCAACCACCCAGACCTCTCACTGGACTTTCATCTGTCTTCAGTACCCATCCTCCACCAACTCACTGGTTCTTCCTCTCTCCACTTCCTTTCTCTCCTCCCTCTGTGCTTCCGTCTCTACCATTGCTCAGAAGCAAGCAAGCAACCAACCATTACAGTAACAAACACAATGAACAACAAACAAATCCCTTTATTCTTTCATGGAGCCTGAACATTTTTTTGGTCATTTGGTCTCTTGAAGACACTCATCCTCTCGGAGTTACACTTATACTTACTCCAAAAGGCTTGTCTATGTATTATACTCAACAAGGACATTTTCTATCCTGAGGGAAATTCTGTTACCATCTGTTAAGATGCATATTGTTAATCTGATGTGTTACAAATTAGGATGCATGCTCTAACAGAAAAGTAGGAAGTATAAGAGTACCATTTTGGGACGGGAGATTGGATTTAAACTGAAGAAGTGGGGAAGGAAAGCTTCTCTGAGAAAGAAAGACATTTCTGAAGACTGTTAGCTAGGCACAGATTGTGGAGGAAGAGCGTTTCCAGCCGGGGAACATATGAAAACATATGGAAAGATGTGAAGATAGGAAGGAGTTTGGTGCACTGGAAAAACCAAAAAGAGGCCAGCATGGCTACACTCTAAAGAGGAAAAGGAGAAAGAAAGGGATGAAGGTGGAGAAGTAAGCAGGGGCCAGAGCCTATGGGACCTTGTAGGCCACATGATTGCAAGTTTTAGGTTCCTGGCTTTTCCCTAACAAATGAAATTGACTTCATGAATTGCTTTTTACTAAATTTTGATTTTATTTTCAACACAGAAACAGTTGTGCCAGAGCTGGCAAACCTGTACACACACACACACACACACACACACACGCACGCACACACAAATGTTATATAAAGCACCTTCCCCAAGGGCCATATAATTTGGCATTATTACAAAGTCTATTCCATGGCCATATACATGATTCTGGTTCGGCTGGGTAACTAGCTGAAAATTATCTTCATATTAATTTTCCCTTCACAGGAATGTTTCCTGCAGAGAGACCCAGAATATGAGGCTTTCTGTAAAATCTTAAAAAAAAGTGGCCTGCCAGCAGCACATGAATTCTCTATTATCTTTCAGGATTTGTATCTGCCCGCTGACACACCCATTTCCCCCAGAGAGCAAGTAGCTTCTTGTTCTGCCCTGTGCCTTACTATTGGCAAGGCACTGTGAGAATAAATCTTAAGTTCTGTTTACCACCAGGGTAAACTGCCTTCCTATAGTATTCTTGTAAAAAGGCATTTTGGGGGGTTTGGTATGTCCCCACGTATTTACAGGTACTGAAAATGACATACACATGCACTCCAGACATTGTGCCCGCTCCTTACTGCTGGTGTTAATCTGGCCCTTGGCACTTTACACATCACGCAAGATTCATGTATTCAAGATGTTCATTCTGTTATTTCCTAAAAATAAATTATTTTGTTTGCTCTCTCAATTCTACCTACCCCAAACTACCTTACTTTTCTTCTCCATTCTTACTTTTCAACTGCTAATAGCCATGCCTTTTAAGCTGTCTTTTTATTGAAAGTAATAAATTAAGACATTCATCTTCAGGTAGTTTCACCTTTGCATAAGAGTCAACAACATATACATTAGTATGCTCACAGTGTTGAGTAGGCAGGAATTCATCTCAGCAGCAACAACATTCACTGATCTTAGAAAGAAAACTTTCCATTTATAGTTACTGGCAAGTCTTACACATTTCAACTTTCCAATAATATAATACTTCAAAATTAAAATATTTTGAGGAATTCGTATCTTCTGTGGCTCTTCCTCAAAATGAAGCCATTGGCCATTTGCTGAGGATGAGTTTGCTGGAGGTACTATGACTCCATCTGATCATCCTGTGAGTCAATGCTTATGGTGGAACCATGGCTACCAGTGTCCGCGGTTTCATAGCACTTTTGGTCTTTGGCAAAGTTGATGAAAACCTGATTTTTCAAGGGAAATAAAGCCATTGTACTTGGTAAACTTGGTAAAAGGAAGAAATAATGTCAATTCACACACACGCACACACATACACACACATGTGTGTGGGCACAATGGGAGGGCAAATAAGAAGAAAACTAGATTTCATAGGGACATGCCCAAACATATATACACACTCTCACTAGGAGTTCTTCCTTTATACTGAAATTGAACTGGGGCTTGAAAATAATTCCTATATGGACAACTATCAGTACATTTATAATTATAAATCTAAAGCTATAATTGAATATTTAAAGCCACATATTTGTATCTATATGATCTGCATCAATATCTTACAAGTATAAACAAGGAGCCCAACTCAAGCCCTTATCAAATGTTTTTATGATGATGAGACAAATTTCACTCAAGAGTTAATGCACTAAAATAAAATTTGCATAGAAAACTCACATTAACATTATGTTCAGTAAGCCGATTATTTAACAGGCAGACCTTTATACTTTATTTAAAATAATTAATTCTATTACTCATAGATTCATCCAGAAAATACTGAGAGCCTATTTTGTGCCAGACAGGATGCTGGTAATTGGTTACAAGTCAAAGGATAAATCTTCTGTGTCGGCAAAGCCATAATTGCCTTAATTCCCCATAAAAAATTGTCCATAAGATGAAGCACAATTCAAAGGCTTCCATAGCCTCACTTTCAGACCCATTCCAGTGACAGATACAGTCAAATGTTCTCTGCATCATGTTGGTTGAATTGCATAAAATTAAAACAGTGCAAAGTTGATGAAGGATGCCTTGTTAAGCCTCAAGTTACTGAACATAAATGTAATTAAGACAGCTGATGTGAATGAAACAAAAATCCCTGCATTTATTGCTTTGGTTGCCTGAATCTAGCAGATCCAAAGCTTGGGCACCAAATTCTAACCAGATATCCTCTTCCTCCCCTAATCCAGGAAGCCAATCAAAAGCAATGCTATTTAAGAAACCTACCAAGGGGAAAGTAAGGAAAGTAACAGCTATTTGTTTTATAGATGAAAATTATTGCTGCTTTATATAAACATATAACTGATGGGCACAGATGTTTTATAGAAGGAAAAAAACTTTTCTCCATGAAAAATAGTTACTGCTTTTCACATTTTTTTCCTAACATCCCAAGATGCAGCTAGAAATAAATTAAGCTAAGTTTTTCAGGTGTGAGTTAAATATTGCTTCAATTAAAAACAAATTGAATGTTATTAAAAGGGAATAATCAGCATGTATAATAATCAATGTGACACTGTGCACATGGATCATGGTATCCAGCTTACCTCTTCCAGTGTAGTCTGACTCACTAAGAAATTTGTGATATTTAAAGCCGTTTTATTGGTTTCCAGCAGATCAAAAATGTTTGCTACTCCTCCTGCTGTGACCGGAACATGATACTCTAGCATGCTGAGGTGTTGATCCTGTCAGAACCAAAGGAAAAAAAAATGTATTTCTTGATGTCAGGGAATATTGACTGGACTACACATAACTTGACCAACAACTAAGAAACATACTGAAATTTGTTCCACTGAAAATGATGCTACAGTGTAAATAATCAGTATGTTTGGAAACTAACAGCTTTTGAAGATGAGATAAGAAGTTTTACGAATGTCAAAGAGAAAACAAATCAAATAGCTAATGATAATTCCAAAACATTCTATATTCATATGCACTTATAAAGCTGTAGTCTTGCTTAGGAAAAAATATTGTGGAGTGGTATTGCAGATGTCAGATTCTGCTCAGCTCACATAAGCTTTTTTCAGAGATCATGTTTAGAAATTTTATTTCTTTAAATGCTGGAATTGTTCTAAAAGGCTAGGGATAAGCTGTTCAATTTATATTGGCTAAAGTTGCCAGATTTCAAAAGCATCTAAGTGAAACCTTATTCAAATAATGCCACATTCTTTCTTAATTCACGTCAGAATTCTTTTCAATTTATTTAGCCCATAGTATTACTATCTACTTGGTAATATATTCTTATTTTCTTGCAGTATCTTAACACCTTTTTCTGCATATTTCATCAATCATCATATCCTATTTATTTTTCCCTCTAAAATAACTCTCAAGTTTAACCTTTCCTTTCAATTTGCACCATCAGTATTATTAACTTGATGCTCATCGTCCACATCTCAGTTATTGCAACACCCTCTTCAGAAGCCTAGAAACCGTATACACTCATATGCTCTGGCACAAAGTAGCTAGAATGATCTTTCCTAATCACCAGTTTGGTCAGGATTTTTCTTACTCCATAATCAACCCCTGTAACCTATGACTTAGATCAGGATTGTATGTTGCAGCCTGGCGTTCTAGACTTACGTTGCTGGAAACCCCTCTTCTCACTCCTCTGCTAGCCCTTCTCGTTGGTTTGTGTTCACATCACATCTATCACTGTAATCAGCCTATCTTACTTATTTTTACTCCCAAATTGTTGTTTTCCCTTTTAGAGATCTAGAAACCATCACACACTTGTAAAGAATGGTCTTTTCAGGAAAAAATCTAATTTTTATCACCAGTGCACTTGTCTTGTGGAGCCCTGGTCCCAGGAGGAAGAGACCAGGGCAAGAGCAATCTCATCACTCAGTGAATAGACATAGATTTCAACCCAGAAATTCACTGACCAATGCGATTTGTGCAAAAAAAGTGTCTTTTAATTTTTAAATTTGATTTTAATTTAGATGATACAAAATGGACTTTGATAAGAATGGTAAAAGCTATTATTTCCTGGAGAACTTAGTCTAGGCTTGGGGGGTGGATGCAAAGGTATTTCAAAAAGATAAAAGAACTGTTTTTAAAAACACACTCCATTTTGCTCTCTAAAGTCATTTCACATTAATATGGGTGTCTCATAGTTTATGAAGCATCTCTGTGGACATTTTATCATTTAGCACTCACACCAATCTTGTGAAGTAAGTGTCATTACTCCTATTTTACAAATGAGAAAAATGAGGCTTAGAGACTTTGAATGCCTTGCTGGAAATCACACAGGCAGAGCTGGACCTCAGCCCAAGTCGACCAACTTCTTTTCATCATTCCACATCTGACTTCCTTTTAAAAACAATCATTTGCTATAACCAACTCGTACAAATTACCTGCATGTCAAAGTTGTTACAATGATAACTTTTTTTTTGTCAAGTGCATTTAAATATGTACTATGTGATCTATATGCATATAACTGTGTGTTGGTCCTGTTGATGTGTTATATGTAAGATGAAATTTAGTGATCAATTTTCCAACTAATGTGGGATTTAAGAATTTGATTTCCAAGTAATTCTGCTCAAAAACTCATGGGCTTGTCTTTCAAATGAGGAAAGCAAAGGAAATAATCTCTTCCAGTTGTGACATTCTGGAATTTTGTAAATTTTTTTTCTAAGAAGAAATGCCCTTGGTCATATGTATCTGTCACCCCTCAATTCCCTAACATATTTAACTAATAAACTAAAGTATACAACTTGAAAACTAACATAATATGGTCCTAAAGTCTTTGTGAGGAAGAAATAAAGGGGTGTAAAAGGACTATGAAAAAAAGTGTAAACGTTTATTCTTAAATAACTACAAATTATATGACTAATTTGAAGATTTTATACTAAGTGTGCTTCAGAGTATCTTAAGCATCTTGAGCTAATATATTAAGATAAATAATAAAGCTATGGTCAATTTGAAAATGGCAAACATCCACTATGATATTAGATTATAACTATCAAAACCAGTCAGATCAAAAGGCAGGACAATCTCTTACTTACTTTTAAGTATGTTTTTGGAAAATGCAGTTGCATGAACCTTGTGAGGGCTTCCATGCTCACTTTGGTATTTTTCAAGTGAACTTTGACAGTAAAGCCTCGTCCAAACCTAGAAAAAAGTGCAAAATAAATTAAGAGTTACATTTTGCTGAAATAGGTCCTTTGGAATTTTGGATAATGAAACAGGACCCAAGCTGACCATTATAGCCCCTTTTTCTATATAAAAGCTATCATTTTGCCATAAAAGTTCAGGGCATGTTGCAAACTGGAAATAGTGCACTGCCATGACTTCTTATTTATTTCTACCATGATTCAAAGTCAGATCCTTGGACAAAAGCTGCATTAGAAAGAAAACATAAAATTGGGCTTTTTTTGGCATCCATAAATTGGCATTTGATGTCAATTTCTGGGGCTAAATGCTTTCTAATTTAAAACAAAGAAGATCTTGAGAGGCAAGTTATTGGAGATTTGGTGTCAACTGTAAAGATTAAAATCATTGGAGTTTTTAAAATAAATAATAGATCAATATACTAGCTAACTGCACCAAAAATAGAATTTGGAAATAAGTCACAACAGACTCTCTGAGAACAACATACGAGGCCTCTTTTATTCTTTTTCTTATCTTGGTCAATATTATCTTATAAAAAAGCCAAGTTGTTGTACAGATAAAGGTATAAAGTAGCATCATGAAGCTTGAAGATTAACATGGATATGTAAAATGCATATGCACTCTGGTGGATATGAAATATTAATTTAATTTTAATTTGATAGTATGATATTTATGCACATTTCCCTAATGTATTCTTGATTCAAAGGTTTTGAATGTGGTAAAAATGATAAATAGCTTACGAAAAGCCTGTGCAAATGACAAATGAACATGCTAGCTAAAAATCAATGTCTTCATGTACTTGTCAAGGTCTAATGTGTTACTGAGTTAACTGTTAACACTGCTTCCTAAGAGTGTTTTGCTTGAGGGTTATTTATCATCACCACCATCATCATCATCATCATCATCATCATTTATTTTCATTATTACTAGCTTTTAGGTCTTGTAGGTTTGGGGGTTATTAACTAAAAAAAATTCAACCCTCAGTACAATCATTGAAATTTAAGGCGAGTCAATGATTAGCTTCTCCATTCCAGTTTTACTACTCACTGCAGGATAGGCTACTGAGATAACCCCTGAAGGTGAGTATAGTACTGTTAGATTGATTACTCTACACCATGTGCTAAACAATACACTTGTGCTTCACCTGCTCTTAATATGCTGCAATGATCCAATACATTGGAACCTTCCATTCACCATAATGGCCAACCTGGTACAGAGTGCTTCACATTCTTCCATGCTGAAAGACAGAATTGTATGAACATTCTGGGCAAAGAAAACTGGATTGCAGTTCATGAACATAAGTTTAACTTTTTCATCATGGCACTTTAGAAATACTGATTGAGTTCCTTAAAATGTCTTTTTCCTTGAAGAACAAAAAAATCTTTGAATGTGGAAATTAAATGTCTTCAGATAGGGTTTATTACTGTTTCTTCTCAAACTTGACGCTATCTCTCTCATCTGCAATGCCCACTCTATCAAGCATAGTATTTCTTTCAAACTCTGACTAATGACTTATATTTCCTAAGAAACATTTCCAAAATAACACCAAGCTTTTTTTATTATGCCTCATACTCTGTATTCAGTTGGCTTTATGTTTTCATATTTACAATTAGTTAACCTGTACTTGATTATATAATTCTAATTTCATAACCTATAGTAACTGGAGGAGATCTTAGGTATCACCCTGAGATCTTTGGGATCACCCTATACATTTAATTCAAAAGTTAATAGAAATTAAATGATTGGCTTCAGAACATATAGTGACCTTGGGCAAGGTTAGGACATAGGATATTTTGATTCTAAACATATCTAGTACTTTTTCTACTATATGATAATTATAGCAAAAGGATGAACTTAATACAAGGCCAACCTTATTAAAAAGGGCACAGATAAAATGCTTTAGTAACTTTTCTACTTAACTGATGGAAAGGGTCTACTTCATGGGGGAGGCCTGTGAGCTAGTTCTCAAAGGATGAGTAAGATTAGAATTTGGAGATTTTGTAAAAAGACCAACTCCAGTGGAAAGCACAGCTAAAGAAAGAGCATAGTTTATAGGAAAGGGCAGTGAGTGTATCTGAAACCATGAGTCATTCAGATTGACTGATAGGAGAGGGTGTCATAGGAAAAAAGACTAGAAATTTAGATAAGGCCAGAAAATAAAACGCTTTGCATACTAAGCCTAAGGATGCTGAACTTTTTGTGATGGGCAACAGGGAGTCATGGTTGAGTTAAAAGGGCCTTAAGTCATGAGAAGTTTGTTTTAAAAAGCACACTTAGGCTCTGTGCCACTATAGGAGCCGATGTCTTACCATGAAACCTTCCTGACTTGTTCCTATGACTATAAATATAAAATACTTCAATCCAAATGCGAACATTCATTATCCATATATATCACACAGGCTTACCTTTCCCCATTTAGCATCCTAATATCATATTATCTAACTTTAAAGTTCCCATCCTCAGCTTACCTGTGAGAGGTGAGGATGACGGAACATTTATTCTGTACTTCTTCTGAAATGATCTTCCAGAGGTGCCGTTTTGACTTAGGATCCATCCCAGAGCTCGGCTCATCCTTAATAGAAAGTTACAAGAAGAATTTATCAAATTAATTAAATTTTGATGAGGTTCTTTACATGAATCACCGCGTCTCACTCCCCTAGCACAGAAATCACTTTTCAAGCTTCTGTGACTAACTTGTTTTATACTTAATAGGCTTCTTTCTGCTGCTGTCAAAAAGCTCAAAATTAATCATTTAAAATTGTCAATCTGTTTTAAAAAGTGTCTCAATGAAGTTGACACCCTGTTACTTTACACTTGTCTCTTCTATTTCTTTGGAAAAAATTCTGCTTCAATTACTGACAAAGCAAGAGTTTTTACATTTAATACTACATTGTCACATATATATTTGAAGCTACATCAACAAAATTGCTACCTTTCTTCTGATAGCAGAATTGTGGCTGTGAGTGATAATGTGTTATCTGAAGCCGAGAGAATGCAATTTGATTTTTTTGTTAATACATTTGAGGTGTATTTTTAGTTCTGTGTGATTAATTGATATTTAATACTCCTTGGGGAAATAAAAACGAGGTTTGCAGAAATTGCCAGATAGGAAGATATAAATTGCATTTTAAAGTAAACGATGCTTTGAAAAATTGTTCAGACTTAAAATTTGAAATGTAGCAATGGAAAAGCTAAACAAGCAGTGATAGATCCTGACAGATAATTTAAAAAACCAAATGATAGGTCAAGATTAGGTAAAAATTAAAAATATATATCTGATATGGAAAGTATGTATATAGGATCACCAGAGGTTTATTCTTATAGTAAGAGGTTAAATTTAAAGAAAGAAATGAGTGCTAATTTGGGGAAACAGTATATTGTCACTGTCCCCCATTTTTGACACCAACAGCATATATATAGTAAATGCATACAAAGGAAAATACTGTATCTTTCTCTCACATCCTGATTTCAGTTCAACTCATTAATACAAAATATTTGTATACAGCTTTTAACATTTTAAAGTACTTTACATCTATTATCTCACAGGGGTGCCTAAGGATTGTTTTGTTCAATTTAAGGGACACTTATACAATAGAATTCCATTATGAGCATCGATTTGCAGGGAAATAATGCACTGTAAGCTTCCGGTATTGTAGAAAGATAGGTTGTGCATTACTCTGTCTGGGCAGTTTAAATGATCAGGGGTACATTACTTAATCCCTGGAATAATGTGGTGATTTATAACTGGGTTTTTATTGCATATGGTTAAGGCTCTTTGGGAGTTTGGAGGTCCTTAAATGAAAGGAATCTTCCAAAACAAGGGCAAGATTATTTCTCAGAAATAAACAGTTTTCACAATATTTCGTCTGGGAAGCAAAATGCTATGTCATTCCTAGTGCAATTTATATTTCCAGGTGATCAATTTAATTTTCCAGCTCTTAACCAAAATACAATTATAGCATGTATATCTTGCCTTCAAAAAATTCAGACAGAACAGAATGGCATATTGTTGATTGCATCCCAAGCTAGGTATCTCAATGTTTTTTATGCAACAAGGAGATAACATTTTAGCCCAATACATTGTCTTAAAAAGTGTATTTCCTTTTAGGTAGAAGTTGGAAAATGTGTTAGTTTACCTGATCAGTTACCAGTAGAACTTATTTCTTCAATAACTGTGAATCAAATTGTCATAATTTTACTTACTCGTTTGAATATCGTGAACTGGTTTCAGCTACTTCCTATTCCCATGCCAAGTAGTTCCTCAGAAACTGACTGAGCCATAGCTTCAGACAAAAACATTCCAAGGGCATATTGTGCCAACAAATTATGTGCTGATGTAAATTCCCTTAATGAGATAGCATACGCAAAGTGCTTTGCAAAATAACCAGCACACAGTGAGACCTCAGTAAATGTTTATTACAATAATGTGAATGAAATGTTATACACACAATTGCATATGTGGTTCTGATTATGTAGCAGGCTTTTTTCACAGTGATTCTCTTACCAGCAACAGAATGGAAGGTTTCCCTATCAAGGCCAGTGCAGTGGATAATTTTCTTTTTGTGCCGTAACTACACATACAGGTAGCTCTGTCCTTGTAGGGCATCAGGTGAAGTCTCCTGAGGAGTTTATGAACAGTCTGTGGGTGGAAAAGAAAACTTAGGTTGATTTTCCCTTCCAAAACCCTTAAAGCATTAAGTGGGGAAAAAAAAAATCTACCTGTGAAAAGAAAGTTTTATAATGAAAAAATACATACCCCCCCAATTAAAACATTTAAATTCAACATAAATTTAAACTTTTATTTTCAAAGGTCCACTTAAAAATTAATAGGTCACTTAAAGAGATAAAAGAGATAAAAGCAATTCTGTGGAGGCTTATTTTCAAATGGGATCCCCCCGCGCCCCGCTGTATGTGTGTGTGTGAGAGAGAGCGTGTGTATACAATTGTTCTTTCTGCTGTAACTAACACAGGATTTCCTTGTAAAGCTTCAAAGAGCTAAAACAGAATTCATCCCTTCAGAAGGCAGGTTTCTTATTGACTGTCATCACTGTTTCATCTTCCTTCTGACTGTGGGGTGAGTTGTCACAAAGGCTTTAAGTCTATTTCAGACTGACCTAGTATCAAAACTTTAGTGCATTAATTTAGGAATCGTGTGTTCTTGTGGCTATTTCTGTAGATAAATAACCCAGGCAAACAGTGGAATCCTAGGAGGATTTCAACAGGTCCCGAAGGGTTGCAAAAATAGAGAAAAACGCCCTAAGGGTTAGCCATTCCATTAAAAAGGTAAATAATTATGGTGGGGAACAAAACCAAATTTAAAAAATTGAACTGGAAGCTAGTCTACTTCACTTGGGCAGTCTGGAGGTAATTCCATGTTTTAATACTTATCTGGACAATAAAGAATGTACAGGCATCCCCACCCAAGGCTCATCCCAGAGCCTAAGGCAAACGTTATGTTTTAGTTAAAAGTTTTTAAAAAGTAACTGAACATGGGCCAAGGTGTTTCTAAAGCTGAGCTGATAGGTGTGTATGTGACATACACAATCGAGCTAATGCTGTATCCATTGTCACTATCAGGAGAAAAGTGTCCTAGTTTTCCAGAGGTCAAGTTGGTCTTGAGGGGAAGGGAGGTGGGAAGCAGAAACAATAATGGTTTTCAAGTGAACTAGTTTTTCACACTTATACTCACTTCTTTAATATCTTTTTCTGGAATTCCATGTATCCTAGCATAGAAATACAAATGTTCTTCCACAGTTACCAGGTCATCTAAGGCATCTTCCTGAGGACAGTAGCCAACTAATGAGCTGTGAGAGTCAACGTGAGCCAAAGATCTGAATTGAGAGAATCAAAACCACAAATGAATTTCAGACGTTTTCTTTCTTATCCCCAAATGTTGAGAGGGTAGCTCTATTTCGGTCATGGTGACCCGTGATTCAGGTAAAAAGAGGTAAAACAATCCAACCATCACAGTCACACGTGGAGGTTTAAAATTTTCCACTCACTTGGATGGCTGTTCTTCCTCCTAATGATTGACCACAAAATAGCATAAAGAGTTCATTTTAATTACTCTTCTCATTAATTATGTTGTGCTCTATAAATCGAAGTATTTTTCATACCCAGTCTGATTTCTGATCAGAATGTGTCCATTTGAAGGAATTATGTCTCCAGTTAGCATCTTGAAGATGGTGGTCTTTCCTGCTCCATTTACCCCAAGAAGGCCAAAGCACTGGTTTGAGGGAGGGAAAAAAAAAGGACGTAAACTTTAATTCAAACTAAAGATGTGCTACTATTATATCTCTTTTCTCCTTCTCCTTGGGTAAAATAAATTACCAAGAAAAATAAATCACTGGAATTATTCATGGATAATGTAGCCCTCTGTTGGCACTTGATAAAACTTTCTCTTTTAAAACAAAGGGTACTCATATATCTTTTTTTCTTTAACAATGTGAATATTTGTATAGATACATAGGATTTCTTTTACATATTAAATTATAGCATACCTCTGGTGACATGGTAAAATACCCAACAAGTGAGGTATGCTATCCTGATAAAGTAATTATATTTATGGATTTGAAATTATTCACACAGAATCACAACTTTACTGAATAAGCTACTGAAGCAATAATATCTTTATGCTGTCAAACAAATTTGATGCATTTAGTTTGCAGCTAGGCTTGGCAACCTATGCTCACATTCTCTTTCTTCTTTCCAAGCTGCCTTAATATTTCTTCTATGAAAACAGCAAGAATCAATATGGATGCAGTTCTAGGACCTCACTTCCAACAACTGATTTCTATTATGTTGCCTTTCAAGAAGTCTGGAAACTAAGAGTTGAAAAAAGTACCCTGCACATAATTCTTGACTGAAAGTCCACCCAGTGAGGATAGTAACTTGGGAAAGGCTCAGGACTTGGTGTGTGGTGAGTCCTCCCTGGCAAGAGGGAAGACGTATGGGGTAAGTAACATGTGGACACATGTAAATTATACATATAGAATCCATCAACGTATTCACAGGTTGACTTTCATATTTCTAGGAAAAAATTAAAAGAAGATAAAGATCTTTATTTGTCACTTACCATGCCAATATAAAGGATAGCTAGAAACAAAACATTGTTCCTTACCTCCCCAGCAGGTATCCCAATGCTAATGTTGTTTACAGCTATAATCTTTTTGTGGATAAGTTGGTAAGTCTTTGTGAGACGATGGAGTTGGACCAGGTCAAATTCACTTGCACCATTCTCAACTCTTAATCTCTCAGCCCGCACATCCTCATCTTCATCTATTGTCTCAACCACAGGTGAAGAATTAAATTTTCTGAAGAAGAGTCTAAAAAATGAATGAAAAGATTTTGCATCAATGATTTTAAAATGGCACCACTCAGTTTTGACATCTTTGAAGAAGTTCTCCACTAAAAGTGTGCTATCACATACTATGTGAGTTTAACATTTTTTATGCATTATGGTACTCAAATAACTTAAAACTTAGTACAAATACTGTTCACAATATTTGCTATGATATTTGAGAAACAGCTTTTGCTTTCCATGCCTTAAATACTTACAGATCCACTGTTACAATTCAGAATCTTAATTTCATAACAAGGAAAATCACTTTGGGTTTGAAAGTTACTTCCTAACAGAGAGACTAGAGTCATTGGTAAGACTCAACACTTACAAACCCTTGATCAATGATCACCTTTTAAAAAAAATCCTGTCTGTTCTTTTGTCATCAATAATATGAATGCTATTCTATATTTTTTTTTTACTGTGTCTTACCTAGGATGTAGCCAATATATTAAGGTTATCAGTTCTGAAAACTCACTACATCTCAAACCCACTTCAGTATCTTGCCTAATAAATACCAAAGCAAACCAAACCAACAAATCAATTCAAGCCTTCCTCCCAATGTCCCTGTTTCTTTTAATGATATCCACAGAGATTCCATCCGTGATTTTTTTTTCTTTGAATCTTCCCCATGCCACAACCCACTCATGCAGCCAGTTTCCTAGCACTGGAAATGCCTTATAACACCCAGTCATCGATCATTGTCTGTCTGTTGCTATTACCATTATAGGCTTCCATTTGTTTCTCACCTAGATTTATCTAGGAGCCTCAGACTGCTCCAGTGTCTCTGACTGCTCCATTCCAGTCTGCACTGTCTCCACAAAACCACAGCTCCTAAAGCACCATTTGATCCTGTTGGTCTCTGTTCAAAAACCTTTAACATACTACTATGTGCTCACTGAACAAAGTCCAAGCTGTATCTCTTTAACCAAGCAATCAGTAGACTCCATAACTTTCCAGCATATGCTTCAGCTCCTACTCTTTTATTACATTTACTCTGTGCTCTGATCAAATTGTATTACTCACTTCTCAAACATGGCCCAAGATTTTTCTATCTTTGCTCTTGTCGCCTCTTTCATTATTATTAACTTACATCTTATTTTTCAATAGGTGATAAATGTACATCAAGTGTTAAAATTAAAATGGTACTGAAGAATATTTAGTGAAAGTAAGTCTCCTTCAACCAATATGCATTCTCTGTAGCAGAGACATAGAGACAATCTCTGCATATGTATGCATAAATAATAGATATATATACTTTTAAAACTCAAATGACAATATACTTTATATGTAGTTCTGAACCTTGCATTTCTCACTTAATAAATATTAGAAGTAACCCCAAACATTACACAGTGAACTGCATCCTTCTTTCTAATGGCTGCATAGTGTTTCATTCATAAATTATGTATATAATTTATTTAACTAGTCTCTAAATAAAGGACATTTAGGTTGTCGTTCTTTTGCCATTAGGAGTGTATAACTTTATACGTACATAATTCTGCATACGTGTGAGCATATCTGTCAAAAAAATTCCTAGAAATAAAATTGCTGGGTCAATGGTACATGTTTTTCTTTTTATTTGTGATTCTGTCCTCACTTT